TTCCTTTCTCTTTTTTTTTTCTCTTAAGCTTCTCTTGTCATTCCTCTTTTTTTATTTTCTCTGCTTTTTTTTCTCTTTTTTCCTCTTTGTTGTTCATTCTATTCTTTTTCTTTTCTTATTTTTTTCCTTTGCCTTTTCTTTCCTTTTTCTTGAAATGCATTTAAATTTTTTTCTTTCTTTTGACCAAATTCTTTTCTCTCCTTCTTTTCCTTTTTTTCTTTTCTTTCTTTCTTTACAAAAACTATTCTTGTTCATTTTTCTTTTCCTTTTTTCCTTTTTCTCTTTTTCTTCTCTTCCCCCATTCTTTCATTTTTTCTTTCTTTTCTTTTTTTTTTTCCTTCTTCAAAATTTTCCTTTTCCTTTCTCCAAATTTTCTTCTCTTTTTTGCCCTTGTTCTGTCCTGTCTTTTCCTTTCTCTATTTTTTTCTCTTTTTTTCATCTTGTCATTCCCTTCTTTTCCTTTGTTCTTTTCTTTTTTTTTCTCTTTTTCCTTGTGGCTGAAATTTTCTATTCTCTAAGTTTTCTTCTCTTTTTTTCTTTTGTCATTCTGAAATTTTTTAGCTTCTCTGCTTTTCTTCTCTTTTTCTTTTCAAAAAATTCCTTCTTTTCCTTTCTGGAATTTTCTTTCTTTTTTTTTGTCATTCCTTCTTTTCTTTTTCTCTCCTTTCTTTTTTTTTTTTTCTTTTCCATTTCTTCTTTTTAAATAAGCTTAAAGCCTTTCTCTTATTTTCACATTTAGATTTTTTTCTTTTGATTTCTCTGCTTTCTCTTCTCTTTTTTTTCCTTGAGAATTTTCTTCTTTTCCCTTTCTATTTTTTTTCTTCTCTTATTTCTCTTTTTCAAAGTCCTTCTTTTCCTTTCTCTTGTTCCATTCTTCCTCTTTAGTTCTGGAAGAACCTTAAAGGAGTTTTCTTTACTAAATGAAAATGGGATTTTTTTCTTGGAAAATCTTTTGAGATTAATTCTCTTCTTTTCTTTCTCTTCTAAAATTTATTGTCCATGGAAATTTCCTTTCTGCTTTTTTTTTTTTCGTTTAAAATTTTTTCCCTTTTTCTTCATTCTCTTCAAATTCCTTTATCAATCAAAGTTTCCTTTGAGAGCCTTATTCATTCTTCTCCCTTTTTTTTACAGTTCATTCCTTCTTTTTCCTAATACTTTTTTTTTTCTCTTGATTCCAGTTACATTCCTTCTTTTTTTAAATCTCTGCTTTTGACTTCTCTTTTTCATCCTCAAAATTAATAATTCCTTTTGTTAAAAACTTGAAAAAACACAATCCCTTGAAAAAAAAATAAACTTTCTTTCTTTTATTGAAGTTCTCTTTTTTCCTTGAAAAATTCCAGGAATTTCCTTTCTCTAGAAAAATTCTTCCTGTTTTTCCGAATACAAAAGGTCTTTTGATATTCCTAAATTCTTTTGAAGATCTTCTGGTCTTATTTTGAAAATGAAATTCAATTCTTCTCTTTTCCTTGAAAATGTCCCTTTTCTTTCTCTTTGTAAATTGTCAATTTTTTATCTTGATCCATTCTCTCCTTTTTTCTTCTCGAAAAAGCTTTTCTTTTTTTCCTTTTTTCCTTCTCTTCTTTTCTTTGGCAATTTTTTTGAAAAGGATTCCTTCTTTCCTTTCTGCTTTTCTTCTCTTTTTTATTTTTAAATTTTCTCATTCTTTATTTCACTGAGTTTCTTCTCTTTTTTTTCCTTCGTATTCCTTCTTTTCCTTTTGATCAAGTTTCTTCTCTTAATTTTCCTAAATTCTCCTTCTTTTCCTTTCTTTTCTTTTTCTTCTTTAAACAGAAAGGGTCATTTCCTTTATTTCCCATTCTCTGCTTTTTCTTCTCTTTTTTTCCCTTTTTTTGATTCTTTTCCTTTTCTCACGATATTTCTTCTCTTTTTTCCCTTGTCAACATCCTTCTTTTCCTAACGATTATTTTCTTCTCTTATTTTCACCTTGTCCATTTCCTTTAGTTTCCATTCTATGCTTTTTTCTCTAAATAACCAGGTCATTTCCTTCACCCTTTTTGGCTTATTTTTCTTCTCTTTTTTTCTCTTTTTCAGCAAATTCCTTTTTTTTGGGCTTTCTTGTTACTTTCTTTTCCTTCATTTTTTTACGTTACAAATTCTTCTCTTTATTTCTTTCCTTTCTCTCACTATTCTTTTTTGTTTTATTTTTCTTCTTTCTTTTCCTTTCTTTATTTTTCATTGTCTCTTATTTTCAGACAGGTAAATTTACTTCTTTTTTTTTTCTTTAAATCAAATTATGTTTTTTCACCTTGTCATTCCTTCTTTTCCTTTCTTTTTATTTCTTCTCTTTTTTTCTTCAGATCATTCCTTTTTTTTATATTTTGATATTTATTTCTCTTTTTTCCTACGATATTCCTTCTTTTCCTTTCTCTGCTTTTCTTCTTTCTTTTTTTCCCTTGTTTAGCAACCAAAGCCCGCTTTCATGGATTTTCTAAGAATAATGTTTCTGTTTAGGGCGTGGCGACCTTTTCTCTTCAACTTCCTTCTCATTGTTGTCTTTTCCCTTTCAAAACTTTTTTTCTTTTTTTTTCTTTTCATTCTTCTACACACACACGCACACACACACACACTTTTCTCGAAATGCACACACACATTTTCCTTTCATACATCTTCTCTTATTTTTTCCTTGTGTTCCTTCTCGAATTTCCTTTCTCTGCTTTCCTTCTATTTTTTCTAGAAATGTATCCTGCTTTTCTTTTGTATCTTAAAGGTTTTTTTTTCATTTCCTTCGTTTTCCTTTCTCTGCTTTTCTTCTCTTATTTTCACTTTCATTCCTTTCCCTTCTTGGTGTCAATTTTCTTCTCTTTTTTCACTGAAATGATTCCTTCTTTTCCTTTCTCTGCTTTTTCTTCTCTTATTTTCTCTTGTCATTCCTTCTTTTCCTTTCTCTGCTTTTTCTTCTCTTTTTTCCCCTTGTCATTCCTTCTTTTCCTTTCTCTGCTTTTTCTTCTCTTATTTTCTCTTGTCATTCCTTCTTTTCCTTTCTCTTTTTTCTTGGTACTTTCTCTTGGTACCATGTATTTCTTTCCTTTTGGTCTTTCTCTTTTTTTCTCTTTTCATTCTTTTCCTTTCTCTTTCTCTTCTCTTTTTTGAATGTCTGATTCCTTCTTTTCCTTTCTCTACTTTTTCTTCTCTTTTTTTCCCTTGTCATTCCTTCTTTTCCTTTCTCTGCTTTTTCTTCTCTTATTTTCACCTTGTCATTCCTTCTTTTCCTTTCTCTGATTTTTCTTCTCTTATTTTCTCTTGTCATTCCTTCTTTTCCTTTCTCTACTTTTTCTTCTCTTATTTTCTCTTGTCATTCCTTCTTTTCCTTTCTCTGCTTTTTCTTCTCTTTTTTCCCTTGTCATTCCTTCTTTTCCTTTCTCTGCTTTTTCTTCTCTTATTTTCTCTTGTCATTCCTTCTTTTCCTTTCTCTGCTTTTTCTTCTCTTTTTTCCCCTTGTCATTCCTTCTTTTTTTTTCTCTTTTTTTTCTTGATAGCTTTTTTCTTCCTTCCTTCATTTTCCTTGTTTTTTCCTTCTTTTCCTTTCATTCCTTCTTTTCTTCTCTTTTTTTTCTTCTCTTTTTCCCTTGGTCCTTTCATTCTTTTTTTCTTTTGATGATTTTCTTCTCTTTTCATTTTCCTTCTTTTCTTTTTTCCTTTTTTCTTCTCTTTTTTTCTCTTATTTTTTCCCCTTTAGTCATGTCTTTTCGCTTTCTCTCTTTCTTTTGTGGTGATTACATTCCTTCTTTTCCTTTCTCTGCTTTTCTCTTATTTTTCATGGCTCATTCCTTCTTTTCCTTTCTTTGCTTTTTCTTCTCTTTTTTCCCTTGTCATTCCTTCTTTTCCTTTCTCTGCTTTTTCTTCTCTTTTTTCCCTTGTCATTCCTTCTTTTCCTTTCTCTGCTTTTTCTTCTCTTTTTTCCTTGTCATTTCTTTCTTTTTCCTTTCAGCTTTTTTCTTCTCTTTTTTCCCCTTGTCATTCCTTCTTTTCCTTTCTCTGCTTTTTCTTCTCAGGTTTTCACCTTGTCATTTGTGGTTGCAGCTTTCTCTGGCGGTCTTCTCTTTTTTTCCTTGTCATTCCTTCTTTTCCTTTCTTGTATTTCTCATAACTCTTTTTTTTTCTTGTCATTTCCTTCTTTTCCTTTCTCTACGTTTTTTTTTTTCCCCTCAACTTCCATTCCTTCTTTTCCTTTTCTCTTCTTTTTCTTCTCTTTTCACCTTGTCATTTTCTTTTCCTTTCTCTACTTTTTTCTTCTCTAGCAATCCTTTAGCATTTAGCTTTTCCTTACTCTACTTTTCTTCTCTTATTTTCTCCTTGTCATTTCATCTTTTCCTTTCTCAACTTTTTCTTCTCTTATTTTCCCCTTGTCATTTATTCTTTTCCTTTCTCTGCTTTTCTTTTCTGCATCATTTTAACTCCTTGTTTCCTTTCTCTTCTTTTCTGTTTTCCCTTGTCATTTCCGTTCTTTTTCCTTTTTTTGCTTTTTTTCTTTTTTTTTAGGTTTCGTCCTTCTTTTCCTTTCTCGTTTTAAAGACTTAACTTTTTACAGATTGTCATTTCCTTCTTTTCCTTTCTTGTTTTTCTTCTCTTTTTTCAATCTGTCATTCCTTCTTTTCCTTTCATTGATTTTCTTCTCTTTTTTTCTGATTGTCATTCCTTCTTTTTCCTTTCTCCTGCTTTTTCTTCTCTTTTTTTCCCTTGTCACATTCCTTCTTTTCCTTTCTGCTTTTTCTTCTCTTTTTTTCATTCATTACTTCTTTTTTGAGGAGTTTGCTTTTTCTTCTCTTTTTTTCCTTCATCATTTCTTTTCCTTTCTCTACTTTTTTTTTTTTTATTTTTCTTTTTGTCATTTTTTTCTTTTCCTTTCTTTTCTTTTTTTTCTTTATTTTTCCCATTTTTAATTTTTTTTTTTTTCTGCTTTTTTTTCTTTTATTTTTTTTTTTTTTTTTTTTTTTTTTTTTTTTTCTTTTTTATTTTTCATTTCCTTCCTTTTCCTTTCTATGGTTTTTCTTCTCTTTTTTCCCTTGTCATTTTTATCTTTTTTTTTTTTTTTGCTTTTCTTTTTTTTTTCAGTATTGTTTTAAGAAAAGCTTTCTTTTTTAAGATTCTCTTATTTTTTCCTTTTCATTATTTTCTTTTCCTTTTTCTTTGTCTTTTCTTCTCTTTTTTTTTAGCTTGTCATTCTTTTTCCTTTCTTTTCTTTTCTTTTCTTTTTTTCTCCATATTCATTTCCTTCTTTTCCTTTCTCTTTTTTTTTCTTCTCCTTTTCTCTTTATCATTCCTTCTTTTCCTTTCTTTGAATTTTTTCTTCTTTTTCTTTTTTTCTCTTTTCATTCCTTCTTTTCCTTTCTCTTTTTTTCTCTCTACCATTTCTTATGTCCTTCCTTCTTTTTCTTTTTTTGTTTTTTCTTCTCTTATTTTCCCTTGTCATTCCTTTTTTCCTTTTTCTTTTTCTTCTCTTTTTTTCTCTTTTTTTTTCCCTTTTTCCTTTCTCTTTATATTTTTTTTCCTTTGTCATTCCCTTCTTTTCTTTTTCTGCTTTCTTCTCTTTTTTTCTCTTGTCATTCCTTCTTTTCCTTTCTCTACTTTTTCTTCTCTTATTTCTCTTTTTTCTTTTTTTTCCTTTCTTTTTTTTATTTTTTTCCCCAATTTGTATTTATTCCTTCTTTTTCCTTTCTCTTTTTTTCTTCTCTTTTTTTTTTCTCTTGTTATTCCTTCTTTTCCTTTCTCTTTTTTTCTTTTCTTTTTCACCTTGTCATTTCCTTTTTTCCTTTTTCTTTTTTTTCTTTTTTTTTTTCTTGTCATTCCTTTTTTTCCTTTCTCTGCTTTCTCTTCTCTTTTTCCCCTTGTCATTCCTTCTTTTCCTTTCTCTCTTTTCTTCTTTTTTCCCTTTTTTTCCCTTAAAAAGTCCTTCTATCCTTTTCTTTTTAATTTTTTTTTTTTGTCATTCCTTGTTTTCCTATTCTCAAATTTTGTTTCTCTTTTTTCCCTTTCATTCCTTCTTTTTCCTTTCTCACGAGTTTCTTCTCTTTTTTTCTTTTCATTCCTTCTTTTCCTTTCTCTTTTTTTCTTCTCTGATTTCAATAAATTCATTTGATTTTTTTTTCCTTTCTCTGAACTGCTTAAGTTCTTTTTTTTCCCTTGTTGTTCCTATTGTTTTTCCTTTCTCTGCTTTTTGACCAGGTTTTTTACTTGTCATTTCCTTCTTTTTTATAAATCTCTGCAATTTTGAATCTTTTTTTTTAATACATTTTATTTCTTTTTCCTTTTTTTTTTGCTTTTTTTTCTTTTATTTTTCTCATTGTTTTCTTTTAAAATTTCTTTTCTTTTTCTTTTCTTTTTTTCCCTTGTCTATTCCTTTTTTTTCTTTCTCTTTTTTTCTTTTTTTTTTTTTATTTCATTGTTTTCTTTTTTCCATTTTTTTTTTTTCTCTTTTTTCTCTTTCATTCCTTTTTTATTTTCTTGTTTTCTTTTTTCTTTTCTTTACATTCCTTTTTTTTACTTTCTCTTTTTCTTCTCTTATTTTTTTCTTGTCCATTCCTTCTTTTCCTTTCTTTTTTTTCCTCTATATTTCTATTTAGACATTCCTTCTTTTCCTTTCTCTTTGAATTCATTTCTCTCCCTATTCTTCTTCCCTCTCCTTACGAGGGATCAGTTTTGTCTATTGCTTCTGTTTCTCTCTTTTCATTTTCCTTTTTCCTTTCTTTAAATTTTTGGCTTCTATTTTTCCTTGATTGAATTCCTTCATTTTCCTTTCTCTGCTTTTCTGAAATGATTTCCCTTCTCTTCGTTTCTTTTCTTCATTAGTTAACTTTTCTCTTTTTATCCTTCCGCAATTCATTGATTTCTTTTCTGGATCCTTTCTGGATTTCATTTTTTTCCCCTGCTTTTTCTTTTCCTATTCATTGCTTTTCTTTGGTTTTCTCCTTTCCTTCTTGGGGTCTTTTTTTCATTTTCTATCCTTTTGCCTTTCAACATTTTTTCTTCTTAATTCCGCCATTTTGTTAACATTCTCCTTTCCCCTTCTCTTCTTTTTTCAATAAAGCAATTTCTTCTTTTCAAAAACTGCTTTTTCTTCTCTAAGAACCCTTCCCATTCATATATTTTGCTTTCTATATATATTCTTCTATTTATATATATATATATATATTTATATCTTTTCCTTTTTTTGCTTTTCCCCTCTTATTTTTATACATTACTCATTTTTCTTTCTCTGCAAAGTTTCTTCGACTCTGCTTTTCTTTCTCTTGTTCCCTCTCTCTTTTCCTTTTTTTGGAAATTCTGTTTATCTCCTTTCATCTTTCTGTAATTTCTCTTCTTTTTATTCATTCCAAATTTCTTCTCTTTTTTCTTTTCTTATGGGCTGTTCTTCTCTATTTTAAATATATATTTTTTTTTTTTTCTTAATGAAAAAACCCTGTAAAAACAGAAGTCTTTCCTTTCTTTTTTGTCAATCTCTTTCTTTTAGTATCTTCTCTTCTTTCCTTGTCTTTTCTTCATCTCTTTGCTTCCATATTTATCTCTATTCTTATATATATATATTTCTTTATATATATTTCTCTCTATTTATATATTCCTATGTCATTCCTTCTTTTCCTTATATATATATTTTCTTCTCTATAATTCTCTTGTCAGTTCCTTGCTTTCTTTTCTGCTACAACTACACTTATTTAATCTTTTTTTATATGTATCCTTTCTTTTAATGCTTTTCTTCTTGTTTTTCCCTTGTCATTTTTTTTTTTTTTTCATCTTTTTTTTGGGACATTTTATATCTTGTGTGTAAGTTTAAATATATATATATATTTATTCTCTTATTTTTTTTTTCATTCCTTCTTTTTTGAAATTTCGCTTTTTCTTCTACTTATTTTTTCTCTTGTCATTCCTAATTTTTCTTTCTTTTCTTTTCTTTTAAAATTTTCTTTTTCTCTTTCCACTATTTTCCTTTCTGTGCTTTTTGAAATCTCTATTTTTTTTTTTCGCATTTAGACTTTTTAAAATTGTTTTTCTTCTCTTTTTCATTCATGTCTTTTCCTTCTTTTCAATGGTGAGATAAAAAAAAAAAACTCATTTTCACTTTTCACTAATAGTTTCTTTTCCTTTCTCTGATTTTTTCACATCTAAATGAATTTCTCCTTGTTTTAAATTTAATATATATATATATTTATATATTATATATATATATATATATATATATTCTATGCAACCTTATTTTTTTTTTTTTTCTGGGAAAATTCAGTTCTTTTCTTTTTCCAAATTTTTTTCTTTCATTCCTTTATTTCCTTTCTCTCTTTTTCTTTTCTTTTTTCTTTTTCATTCCTTTTTTCCTTTCTCTTGCTTTTCTTTCTTTTTGCTTTTTCATATATATTTATTTTTTCTTTTATTTTTTTTCTATATTTTTATTTTCTTTTGTCATTCCTTTCATTTTCCTTTCTCTAAAAAGGTTCTTCTTATTTTTTCTTCACTCCTTTCTTTTCTTTCCTCCCCATTTTTTTTTCTTTTTTTTTTAGTGTCATTCATTTTTTTTTCCTTTTCTTTCTTTTTTCTGCAACATTTTTCTCTTGATGGTTTGTCTTTCTTTTTTCCTTTCTTTCTTCTGAAAACGTTTCTTAAAGAATCTTACTTTTCCTTTCTTTTCTTCTTTTTTTTCCTTTCTCTTTCTTTTCTTCTTTTTACTTCCCTTCTTTTTCTTTCTCTTTTTTTGTTTTTTTTTCCTCAGGAATTCCTTTTCCTTTTTCTTTTCTTCCTTTCTTCTTTTTTTTCCTATCAATCCTTTCCTCTGCTTATTTTTTTTCTTTTCCTTTCTTTTCCTTTTTTAAATTCTTTCTCATTTGTTTTTCCTTCTTTTAGTAAAATTCTTTCTTTATTTTCCTTGTTTAAAATTCTTTTTTTTTTTTTTTTGTTTCTTTGAGGAATTTCTTTTCTTTTTCCTTTTCTTTTAAGAAACCTTTTTTTTTTCCTTTTCCTTCTTTTTTTTTTTTTCTTTTTTTATATTTTTCTTTATTTAAAAATAATATTTCTTTCTTTTCCTTTTTTTGCTTTTGCCTTTTTTTTTCCTTGTCCTCCTTCTTTCTATTTGATATTTCATTTCCCTTTCTTTTCATTCTCTCCTTCCTTTTTCTCCAAGTCTTTTTTCCCCTTTCTTTCCTTCTTTTTCTTTTCTCAACCATTTTTTTTGAATCATTTCTTCTTTTTTTTCTTTCCCATTTTTTCTTTCTTATTTTCCTTCTTTTCCTTCTTTTCCTTTTGGAATTTCTTTTTTCAAAAAACATTTTTCCTTTCTTTTCATTTTCTTCTTCCCTTTTTTTCAAAAATTTCTTTTTTTTTTTTCTTCTCTTCCCTTCTTTTTTTCATTTCCTTTCCTTTTCTTTTCCTTTTTTTCCCTTTTTCTTCCTTCTTTTTCTTTTTTTATTTGCAAGCTTCTTCTTTTTCCTTTCTTTTCTTTCTATTTTTTTTCCTTCTCCTTCCTTCTTTTCTTTTCTTTTCTTTTCACTAAATTTTCACCTTCTTTTCTTTTATTCTTTTATCTTTTTCTCTTTATATATATATTTATTTTTTTTGTTTATTTTCCTTTTTTTTTTTTTTTCATTTCCCCTTTTTTTCCTTCTTTTTCCTTTCTCTGCTCCTTTCTTTTTCTTTTCCTTGTCTTCTTCAGTATTTTTTTCCTTTTCATTTTTCCCTTCCCTTTTCTCAACATAGGATTTTTCTCTTTTTTTTTTTTTTAAATTTTTTTTCTTTTCTCTTCCATTCTCTTTTTCTTTTTCTTTTCTTTTTTTCACACAAATTCTTCTCTTATTTTTTACCCTTTCTTTTTTTTTTTAGAATCTTACTTTTTTCCTTTTCATTTAGTTCTTTTCCTTTCTTTTTTCCATTTCTTCCTTTTTTCCTTTTTTTCCTCTTGTTTTTCCTTTCTTTCATTCTTTTTTCTTTTCTTTTCTTTTTTCTTTTCATTTTTCCTTTTTTTTTTCTTTTTTTTTCCTTTTTTCCCTTTCTTTTACTTTTTTTCCTTCTTCTTTGCTTTTCCTTCTCTTTCCCAGATCTTTTTTTCATTTCTTCTTTTCCTTTTCTCCTTTCTTTCTTCCTTTTTTTTTTTCCTTCTTTTCCTTTCCCTTTCTTTTCTTTGTTCTTTTTCCTTTTCCTTTATTTTTTTAATTTCATTCCTTTTAAGTTCCTTTTTTTAGATCAACTTTTTTTTTTCCCAAAATTTTCTTTTCTGTTTATTTCTTTCTCCCTTTCCTTTAAAAATTTTTTTTTTGATTTTTAAAAATAATGTTAAATTTCTTTTTTTTCCTTTTTCTTAAATGACCTCCTTTCTAAATTTTTTCTTTTTTTTTTTTTTTTTTCAATTTTTCCTTTTAAACCATTTCTTTTTTTTTTCCTTCTTTTCCTTTCTTTCAATTTTTTTTTTTTTTTTTTTATCATTCCTTCTTTTCCTTTCTCTGCTTTTTCTTCTCTTTTTTTCCTTTCATTCCTTCTTTTCCTTTCTCTTCTTTTTCTTCTCTTTTTTCCCTTGTCATTTTCTTTTTTCCTTTCTTTTTTTCTTTCTCTTGTCTTTTCTTCTTTTTTTTCCTTTTTTCTTTCTTTTTTCTTTTTTCTTTCTTTTTTCTTTTTTTTTCTCTTTTTCTTTTCTTCTCATTCCTTTTTTTTTTCTCTTTTTTTTTCTCTTTTTTCCTTCTTTTTTTTCTTTTTTTTTACTTTTCTCTTTTTCCCTTGTCATTCCTTCTTTTCCTTTTTCTTTCTCTTTTTTTCTTCTCTTTTTTTCCTTGTCTTCTTCCTTCTTTTTCCTTTCTTTTTTTTTTCTTCTTTTTTTCTTTTGTCATTCCTTCTTTTCCTTTCCTTTTTTTTTTTTTTTTTTTCTTTTCCTTTCTTTTTTCCTTTCCTTTTTTTAATATAATTTTTTCCTCTTTCATTATTCTTTTCCTTTCTTTTTTTTCTTTTTTTTTTTTCTTTTTTTCCTTTCTTCTTTTCCTTTCTTTTTTTTTTCTTTTTTAATTTCATTTTTTCTTTCTTTTTTTTTTTTTTTTTTTTTCTTCTTTTTCTTCTTTTTTTCCTTTTTTTTTTTTCTTTTTTGTTTTTTTTCTTTTTCTTTTCTCTTTTTTCTTCTTTTTTTTTTGTCATTTTTTTTTCCTTTCTCTTTTTTTTTTTTTCTTTTTTTCTTTTCATTCCTTCTTTTCCTTTCTCTTTTTTCTTCTTTATTTTCCTTTGTCATTCCTTCTTTTCCTTTCTCTTTTTTTTTCTTTTTTCTCTTTCTTTCTTTTCCTTTCTTTTTTTTCCTTTTTTTCCCTTTTTTCCTTTTTTTCCTTTCTCTTTTTCTTCTTTTTTTTTCTCTTTTCTTTTTTACTCTTTTCTTTTCTTTTCCTTTCTTCTTTTTTTTCCCTTTTCATTTTCCTTTTTTTTTTCTTTCTTTTTTCTTTTTTTTTTTTTTTTTTCCTTCTTTTCCTTTCTCTTTTTTTTTCTCTTTTTTTCCTTTTCCTTCCTTCTTTTCCTTTTTCTTTATTTTCTTCTTTTTTTTCTCCTTTTCTTTTCTTTTCCTTTCTCTTTCTTTTCTTCTCTTTTTTTCCCTTGTCATTCCTTCTTTTTCCTTTTCATCTTTTTCTTCTCTTATTTTCAAAAAATTCATTCCTTCTTTTTTCCTTTCTCTGCTTTTCTTTTCTTATTTTCAAATAATCCAACATTCCTTCTTTTCCTTTCTTTCTTTTCTTCTCTTTTTTCACCTTGTCTTTCCTTCTTTTCCTTTCTCTTTTTTTCTTCTCTTTTTCCCCTTCATTCCTTTTCCTTTCTTTTTTCTTTTTTTTTTTCTTCCCTTTTTTTTCTTTCATTTTTCCCTTTTCTTTCTCTCTTTTTTTCTTCATTTATTTTCCCCTTCATTCCTTTCCTTTTCTCTTTTTTTAAATTTCTTTCCTTGATTTTCCCCTTGTCATTCCTTCTTTTCCTCTCTCTGCATTATCTTCTCTTATTTTCACCTTTTAATTCCTTCTTTTCCTTTCTCTCCTCTTTCTTTTCTTATTTTCCCCTTGTCATTCTTTCTTTTCTTTTTTCTTCTCCCTTATTTTATTATTTTTTTTTCTTAATCCTCTCACACCATTCATTTAGTTTTTTTCTTTTGCAGTTTTTTTTTACTCGGGTTCTCTTCTTGTTCATTTACCATGTTTTCCATGTCTCTCTTCTTTCTCCTTCTCCGTGTCTCATTTTCTCATCCTCTACCACGCCTTTTTCTCCCTATGCCTCTTGTCCTTTTTTTCCTCTCCTTTCCCTTCCTGTCTTCTCTCTTTTTCTCTTTTCTTTTTCTCCAACCACTCCTTGTCATAATCATAAAATTTAGGTTTTTCTTTTTTATATAATTAATTTTACCTAGAAAAAAATTTAAAAAAGCTACTCAAGATATTTTTTACTGAAAAGTTTGTTGGATGAGTGATAAGAGCAAGTGGTATGAGGTGCAGTTTATGAGGATATGTGGGAAAGATAATGGTTTAACCTTAGTCCTAACAGTTTAAGATTTAGTCATCATGGAGCATCCTCTTGGGAGGTGTTGCACAAAGTAGCAGTTTGTAGGAAGAAGCTGTTTAAGTTGAAATTATTTCTTATTCGTCATTTGAATCTGGCTTAATTTTTTTATTTTTTTATTGTTTAGTTCAGGGGCTATCTTTTTTTGTGGGAGACCCAAATCTAAAATCCATTATGGGGACCCATGTTTCCATAGATTTGTTTTAAGCATAATTTAAAAAAAAAAATTCTTTATTCATTTCCTTCTTTTCTTCATTCTATCATTCATTTATTCCCTTTCTTCTTTTCTTCATTCTATCATTTCTTTATTCCCTTTCTTCTTTTCTTCATTCTATCATTTCTTTATTCCCTTCCTACTTTTCTTCATTCTATCCTTCTTTTACTCACTTCCTACTTTTCTTCTCCCATTTCTTTCTTTCTTTCTTTCCCTCCCTCCCTTTGCTCCTGCAAATCTTTTAGTGTATTTCAGCATCTAAAATCCATTTTGGAGACCCATGTTTTCATAGATTTGTTTTAGGCATAATTTTTTTTTTCAAATATGGGTTTTTATGAAAGAAAGGTGAAAATTAATTTAAAATATTTTATTGATGACTGATATGCAGAAATAAAATAGAATATTCATAATATTTGAATAATTTAAAATAGAATATTGATAATAAACAAAGTAACAAGTTTTGTAGCTGTCAGCCCCTCAAAAAGAGAAAAGAAAACTTTATTAATATGGTCAGCTTTATTCAGTATCTGATGGTCAAGATGAAGAGAAATCCTTAGCTTCTGATGATTTTGAGATTGGCATCATATAGAGACACTTTTTTCATCTGTTTACTTTGAAACTGTTATTCCAACATTTACAAAATAAAATAGGAGTAAAACCTGACTCCTGCTGCCATGCACTATCTTTATAAGAGTCAGATGTGACCAAGAATGGAGTATTACTGTCATCTCTTGGCTGGTGCTGCCCAATCCTCTCTGTTCAGCCTCCTTGGTGTTCAAAAGCACTTACACGGCCCTGTGTGTGATGAATTGTGTGATGCCTGCAAACCTTATCTCATAGATAAAACATTGCCAGCCTTTCACTGCTATATCACTATGGCAAATGTTTGGACGAGTTACATTCGTGAGTTAGGACCTTCACAGCTAGGACCTCACCACGCCCTGTTAATGGTGGCAAACCATTCCTATTCTCTTCATGTCCCTTTGATAAAAAGCATGTTCCACTCAGTCATCTTCTTTCCCAGGACTGTTACTTTGTGAAACAAACTCCTGAGAGAATGCTTTCCTGACAACTACAATCTTGGTCCCTTTAAGTCCAAAGTCCAACACTATCTATTCTACTCATCCTCATAATATTCTTCCTTACCTGTCCCCCTACCTTATAATCTATTTCAGTAATCTGGCATCTTATCTGCAGTCGCTGTCTCACAGATGTGCCATTGCCTCCCTCTGTCTTTTTACAAATGCTTTCATGGTAACTGCTCCGATGAGCTGCTTTCGCTGATTCCCAGACTTCATGAATTTAAGCATTTAACTAAGCTGGCATCTCGCTCACACCCGGTCACTGTTGAAACTGTTAAATGTAGCCGCCTCTTCTACTCCAATAGCTTCATGTCTCGCACCTCTCGACTGTGGAACACCCTCCCTTCTTCCTGTTTCCCTGATAGCTATAATCTCCAACTATTTAAATGTAATGTCAGTCGACGTCTCCAGATGCCCTGATCTATTCCCTATCCTTCTCTTCATCCTTTCCTCTATCACTTCTATTTGCTCTAGCTCCAACTCTCTGTAACCACTTGTGTGCTAGTGGCTTCCTGCCTTGCTTGTGGTGAAACACTTATAAAAATAAAAAAAATAACTCTCTACCTTGAGTGACCTTTGAGCTTTGTATTGGGTGAACTAACAGTAAAAAAAAAAATAGAACTGTTGAATTTGGCTACTCTCATCTTGGAAATATTTAATTTGGTCCTTGGTCAATCTCAGTCCAGTGATAAGGTTCATTAATTTGAAATCCATTGTTAAAGGTTAATGGACCATCACTTATTTTCAACTCTACAACCTCTTTCCTACATAAAACATTACAAGCCTCTCATTACTCCCACAGTTTGTTCAGAAGAGTTTCATTCTTTAGTACATCCACATGGTTGAATCATACTCACTCCTGACATATTTCTATGCTAAGAAATGTGTTTGACCTCTGAAGGCTTCTTCTAAAGAATTTTTACTCAATGGAACAGACTACCACATGGATGCTTCCTCAAATATGGCAAGTCCAAGGTCAATCCTTATCCATCCACCATATTCTCATAATTTAGTATTTTATTCTACCTCTTCTTATGTTTACATCACACACCTCATTTAATAACCCCCTATCTTGAGTTCTTGAGCCTTGTATTGGAACTTTATTAGTATATATATATATATATATATATATATATATATATATATATATATATATATATATATAATATATAAATTATATTTTATGAATGTGCATAGTATGGTATATATATATATATATATATATATATATATATATATGTATATGCACATTCATAAAATATAATTAATATTAGAAATCCAATTATAATAGTTGTACTGTCAGTTCAGGCACAGGGCCTAAATGTTTGAGTTCCAAGTGAAGCTCATTGTCAGCAGTAGTGGTTTGCAAAAGCAGTGTCAGGACTCTTTTAAAAATGTTTTTCTCAGCCAGCCAATAAAATGCATCAAAAAGAAATTAAAGGAACACATCTGTCCACATTTATG